CACTCGGGAGAAACACGGCGGAACTGCTCCCGTTCCCTGCTGGCTTTGCCTTTCGCTGAACCGGTGGGGCCTGTGCCGGCATTTTGGCCCCACGTTCATTCTAACCGTTTGCCTGGCGTAGGCAGCTCTAACGCTAAGGTTGCCAATGCGCACGGTGTCTACCTTAAATCGTCTTTTTTGTTTGTTTTTTCTTCAGTGAAATGGAAGGAGAGGTCAGCGCACTCCAGAACAAAATCAGAAAAGGTTTTTCTAATAAATACAGGGGTCTGAAGTCTCTTGCTCATTAACTACCATAAAAAGCCTGCTTATGCCGTGATACCCGAAAATTGCCATTAGAATCGTAACCCATTAGTATGGTGTAGCAGGAGCTTCCAGTGTGGCTTCCCCAAAGTAGCAGCATGCCTTCGTTATCTGTCAGAACTTGTTAAGTGTGTCAGTAAACCAGTGGTTATGACGAGCATCCTGAGGACATAAGAATACAAAGAATTTACGAAATCAACGCTACGGGAATGGCTGTTGCAAGAAACTGTGGCATACGGCCTTTCTCATAAGTTGACCAAGCTTGAGCTTAGAAATACCCAGGCTTTTATTTTGTTATGAGTGTTCGTTTTGGGTAACTGTTCTAGAGCTCACTTTATGTGCTCATTAGTGATCTTTTAGTTTCAGTCTATATTTATTCAAAGCCAGTTAATAACCGTTCTTGTGCTTGCATTATCCTTTATGTAACACTCCTCTCTCATGGTTCTGCCTCATAGAGTATTTGGAGTGAACGCTTGTGTTTCCTCATACTTTATTTTGTTAAATTAAACAAGCTAAATTCTTCTGGTTTGTAATGCAGATTTTTGGTTTCCTTGCTCATCACAGCTCTTCTCTGCATCTGTTCGTTTCAGTTCATCTTTCTTGAACACTGCTGACCTAAATTTTTTTATGATCTTAATTTCTTTTACCTTGAAAAAAATCTTTTGAAAGCTCGTTAAAAAAAAAAAAAAAAAGACCCTACAGGAAGCTAGTAGTCATTGGGCAAAAACTGTCATGTAAATGAGAGTTCATACTAGCTGATCGCAAAATATTAGAGACACAATCATTTTTGACATAGCATTCTTTATATAGCAACATATTGGTAATATTGTTTAGTAAAACCAGTGATTACAGATGGATATATATTAAACTGGATAAAACCAAAAAGTAATAGCATTTTGTATATGGCTCTGTTTCTTTCTGGTGACTTGTATTTTTAATGGCAGTTTAACGGACGTTTGTCTGTAGTACATCTTTAATTCTATCTTTCAGCCCCTAAGGCTTCATCTTGGAGAGAGTTGCATTCTTTTCCAGTGAAGCTTAAAGCAGCACATGAGGGATGAAGTTGTTCGCCACCTCTCAGAATTGAACTAGTCTTTTCCTGCTTGACATTTTCATTTTAAAATTGCAATGTAGGAGCTGCATAATTTTAAATCCTTTCATAAGATTCTTTCACCTCATTCTTAGAAATAATCTTAACTTGTTCCAAAAGTCTCTAACTTGTATTTGAAAGGAGTGTGCATTGAAAAGGTGCTGCAAATCCTTACTGACTAAAGATGCTTTCATGTGGTCAGTGTTTCTAGCAGAAAAAATCAGTTATTCTATGTATTCTTTTAAAGACTGATAAATTATGAAAATTCACTTCCTAGGCAAACTGGGTTGTGTGTTGCATAATGAAGACAATGTTTGAGGGAAGCTGTGTGTACTGAGCACTTTTAGACTTACCACAGATTGCATATTGCTATTCTGGCATATGTACCAAACATCTGTAGAATTTACAGAGATTTAGTTACATGTTGAATGCAAACAAATTGACCCGAGTTTTCTTCCCAGATTTGGATGCTTAAATATAAATAGCCTGACTTTTAAATATGTTGAACTCTGCAGCTCCTGTTGACCTAAATGGGATCTGTGCATATTCAGCACTCTTGAAGATCATGCTGCTTATTAGAGACCTAACTTTAAATGCCTGCATATACAAATATAAGCAGATAATAAGGCATTTGAATTACCGAGTAGTGATATTTTGACCATCTGTGTGTGGGTTTTTTGGTTTAATATCTACAGGATAACAGCACTTCTGCATTCCAGAAAAAGTAATAGTTGCAATAAATTGGGCTATGAGAGGGTTGCATTTCAAGGTAATTTTATGTTCCAACAAGTGTTGAAATAAGATGACAAACAGTTGCCCTTTAACAAATTCAGCTGCATTGTTGGTGTATATTGACTTCATGAAACAGTTTAAATAGTTTGAAATAATAATAAACAATCTGGAACTTAAATTATTTTAAATTTCTTTTATTAAAATAACACTTATCCTTGTGTTTTCATAAGCTATTGCAGGTCACAAGCCTCCGGTAAAGTAATCAGTGGAGAGGAACATTTTTCAAGCAAAAAGTGCCTGGCTTGGTTTTATGAATATGCAGGTAATATGCAATGGCTTGATTTTTACGGCTACATGGTTCTGTTTAAAACAAACAAGTACATCAAATATTATTTGTATTTTACTTTTTTTATGCTGACGTAGACATAAAAAATATGTCCATGTTCCCTTCCTTATAACATGCACTTGAATTAGTGTAGCTTTTACTATCGTCTTTCAGTATTTGTTCTTTTTGAATTCTTCTTCTTCACTCTATGCTTTATAACTAACCATGGCGTTCTTTGAAATAAAATAACTGATGTTGGACAGTACAGTGTTGAACCAGGATATACTGAATGATTCTACTTCTCAATTTGAAAAGGAAGAGTAGAAGTCAGGACACTGAGAGATAGTTTAGATAGAAATTTATGTATCTAACTAGATCTTGTTTATAATCAAACTGGATGGTTAATTAAATAGTTCATGATTTAAGCCTCTTGGATTTCTATCTTAAAAAAAAATAATAAATGCTTATACTGTTTTTCCTGTCTGAGAATCTGTCCTAACGTTTTTGATATTCTAAATAACAAATGTTTCATGCAATTGTTAGAAGTAGCATCTTTCAAATCAGAATTGCCATGCAAGTAATAGTTGCTTTCAGTGAATATGCAGTGTAGTTTGCAGAATTTATTAGTCCATTACTACCATTTATTTACCAATTACATGGTTAGAAATTCAAGATCTGTAAACTGTTATTGATTTCTTGTCTAGTCACTACTTGAAGTCCATTCTTGGTGATTTAAACTCATTAATGTCTTGTTCTCAGTATGAAATGAGCTGATGATTTATCTGCCAGCAGTTGGTTTGAATATGTTTATCAGAACTGATATTGTACTTGCAGTCTTTCCACAGTACTGAGCTACTCCTGATTCTAGTAATCTGCTTTCTAATTTGGGTTTGAGGTATACTTTATTGGAGTACAGAGTCTTTTCTGAGGAAAATAATAATTCTCAGTTAATTTTCTTCTGATAGGTGTACCTTTTAACTTTTTTAAGGCACAGAAATTTTGTTTTTGTTGTTGAGTAAAGAACTGAATGTAGGAGTTTATACTTGGTTAGTTAACCAGTAATCAAAATGTGCCACATTTCTAGCATAAAGTAGAATTATGTTGAACTTATACACTGTAGGGTATTAAATGTTTCAATTAAAAGAGGAAATTATACACAAACAGACACACATGCACAAATATTTATATATAAGAGTTGTACATATGATTTCAGGGCCAGAAACCTAATTAAAGTTTATACTTCTCATTACCAGTAAACCCTTGTATGTGTTTCTCTTCATAACTTAAACTTGCAATTTTTTTAACGCAGTCTATGTAAGAGCTTCTCAAAACCAGATGTCAGTGTTTTGCTTTGCTTACTGAGGCAAAATGTTCTTTGCAACGTTTTTCAAGAGGCAGGGGTTCATGATCTTAAATGCCAGTTGCATTTTATTTTCCTGTAAAAGTAGCTGTTCTCAATAGTTTTTATTGACTATGTTCTTATCTCAGTGAGTAATTATTCAAAGTATGTTATCCAAACACTTAAGAATTCCGCTTACAGTAACAGCAGCGGATACAGATGAAATGGAGACAGGTAGACAGGTATCATAAAGGGAGGAGAGTGGAAGGACTATTCTGTCTATGTATAGATAACAAAATTTGCCAAAAAAATCGTAAAATGGCATGTTGTTTTGGAAGATACACCCTTTACATGGGTTCATATTCACTAAAACAATGTTAACATAATGATCCAAGACACGTCAAAATAGCATGTCAGCAGGCCTTCTAATAACGTTCGGTTGCCCAGTAGGAATCATTTTTGGAACAAGCTTAGCAGAAATAACTGAAACTAGAGAGGGATTCAGAGAAACAAAGTGTATGTCTGCATGTGCTCTTTAAATACGCTATTTTGCTACTTTTTAGAGGCTTTCTTCATATTAAAATGGAAAAGTGACAGCGTAACACTAACTGTTGTGGTCCTAACAAAGTTATTTTCATTGCAGTCAAACCTTTTTCTGGTTTGTACATGGCTAGCATGCTTAGCATTTTTCTGATTTATTGTTATCACTCATATTACTTAGCATCATAAAACTAATCTTACATGATTTGAAGATTCATCCTCTTCTGTGTTAGTGCAAACCCGTAACGTTAACACCATTGAAAGAGTAATATCTTTAACAGTAGCTCAGATGGAATAAATTTTTTTTTTATTGTTGATAGAATAACTCTTTGAAGAACCTTATTCTAGAGTAACTTCAGCACAGAGTAGTGCTACTGAAGTTTGTCTTACAAACAACTGACCGCCACAGTTATTGGAGTTGAGCTATGTCAAGGTGAAGCGCGGTGGAGTCTTAGGGGAACTCATATACGCAAACTAAAATAGCTTGTCTGCTGTTGTGGGGAGGCAGTGCACGACATGAAAGTTCTGGTTTAGTTTTGCTTTTAGTTCATAGTGTTACTTCATATGTAATATGCATGTCTCCACATTGGAGTTGATAGAATGGCTCTAACAGAAAAGCTACTTAATAATGTAATTCAGTGTTTCTAAAGATAACTTGTATGAAATATAGTCTGATTCTTGTTGTGTGTAACCCTTGTGAGCACATGTTATGCGCTTGTTATGTTACTTAGATTTCAGTCTCGTTTCTTTTTGGTTTTGAAGGTCCTGATGAAGTTGTGGGGCCTGAAGGAATGGAAAAGTTCTGTGAAGACATTGGTGTTCAGCCTGAAAATGTAGGTTTCTTGCGCAGTACTAATAACACTTTAAAAGGGAGTATCAGATAGGATTAAGTTCTGTGTAGTACTCTTAACTTCAGTGAGCAAAGAGTTGTTTATCTTCCTGCTTTTAGGAGCTGTTCTGAGGTATTTCAGCTGACTGCGTCAGTTACGCATGGCTGTTGTGTGAAGTTTTTTTGGGTTTTTTATTATTATAATGCTTTGTTTTCAGCAATTGAAATTAGGAGAAAGATCGCACATAGATGAATTATTAAATGGTAACAAATATAAAGTACGAGCATGTACAACAATTGGTAGAATGTTTGAATGCTTAGTGGTGTTCTTGGGCATCTAGAAATCAGTCTTTTCATATATACTGACTCCTTTTTCTCCCCTTGTGTTTTTCCCCCTAGATTCTTATGTTAGTTTTAGCCTGGAAACTAGAGGCTGAAAGTATGGGATTTTTTACCAAGGAAGAATGGTTAAAAGGAATGACCTCATTACAGTAAGAGTGTTTTTACATACCTAATAGCATGTTCTAATTTTATGTTTTGTATCAGTAGCTCAATTATTCTTGCACTTGGTTTCTTGTGCGTTGGCACTAAGACACAGAAACTCTTGCTTTTGAGTCTGGTCTTGGTCACCAACTGGAAGCAGCTACTGTTACTCCACATTATGAATCTGATGAGTTTTCTCAAAGTATAAAATTTTGTCTAACCCTAATAAGTCAGATTTTGGTGGCTTATTTTCTTACAAAAAGTATGTTGCAATATCATTCTAGTTAGCAGACACAGATAAGTAGATCTGGAGGTAAACATAAGCATATATTCTAGCAAATTTTTGCAGACTTCTGGGCTTTATAGATGAGGACTGCATTGATAATAATTTGGTTATTAGTGTTAGTTATTAGATGCAGGTCAGAAGTCATGCTTAATGCTTAGGTCAATAACAGTTTATAAGTAAACTTCTCACTCCTCTTATTTGTAAGGATTTTTGATGAGAGAATGTTCTGCCTGAAGAGGTTGTTTCTTTCATGAAACTAATCAGCTTTTTGTGAGGCTTAGTTCAGTTGTCATTTTTTATTTGTTCTTCATGAAACTACTTATGGTACATGAATGTTTTAAGGGTGACTTTTTGTGACACTGAATGACTTAAAAGTGTCAGGGGGCTGCTGTTGCAGCTACAGCATGGAGGGGAAGAGGAGCTGATTTGACCCTTGGAGTTGACATTCAGTTGTGAATTGGTTTGGGAAGTTGTATCGGGCAGATACCCTCTGGTTATTCGAGACTATGGAGTAAGTGAATCTGGCCTGACTCTCCTGTGCAAATCTTATTTAACTTGGGATCAAGCTTTTGATAGATGCCTTGATTGTATTGTGACTATCAGAAGTTCTTAAATTTAGTAAGAGTTGGAATTACTAAATTGCGTGAAATTCTGAACAACAGACATTAAATTCTGGGTGCGTGGCCCTGAAAATCAGTTTGGGTATATAAATTTTTAGATGCAGTGAATGGGTATAATTTGGTCACTTCTCTGAAGTACTTGATTTTTATGCCCAAATGGAGGCTCTCAAGAGTTAGCCAGTCTATCAGTATGTAAGCACAAAGACACATGAAATCAGGCATCTCTTCAGAGCTAATGTTACAGACTTCATTTCTAATAATCTGCTGTGATTAGAAATCTTCTGGTTCTTTTAAGAACAGAGCTGGTCATGATGTAGACTAAATGTGCTTAGGACAGAAAATATGCTACTGCTGTGCATTTTTACATAAACAAGAGTTGTGATCAGAGCACTTGCCTGAGCCTAAACCAGTTAACCTGTATGTTTTGCTTCCCCTGGGTGTGCTTTAAGAGCAGGTTATCCAGTTATCTGGATAAAGCAGTGACACTCGCATAAGGGAAATCAAGATTCATTGGCTTAAAAAGAGAACATAAATCTGTAGACTTGTGCTGTTTGTGCTTACTGGAAAGGGAGGATCATAGTATGGGATTCCATCTGGGATGGGGGAATCTAGTTTCTCTTGAAAGGTTTGACAGAAGTTTTGAAGGAGAAGGACTTTGCTCTCTTAAAGCAATAGAGTATTATTACATTCTTGCACAGCATTTTTTAAATTTTTTTGCATGAAGAAATGACATTAAATGCATTAAAAGCCCAGAGTGTGTTCTAAGTCTGATTTATATTGCAGAATCCTTATTTCAAAATACATGAAATGTTGCATGAGATAATTGCATGAGCAGAGTTGGGTGAAATTCAGCTCCGTAGTAAAACACCTAAATGTGTGGTTTAGATGCAAGAACTGGATTTCTTAAACTTACTGCAATCTCTGGAGATCTAGTTAATGTAATGGAGTATAGGGTGATATTCAGTTTGCCCTAAGGCCTAGTGACTGGTCACCTGAATTGCTATTATGGGTTGGTTGGGTAGACCTGTATGAATGGCAACACCTAAAGCATTTGGGTGCCTGAATCTTGAAGAGACGTTCTTTTTGTGTGTGGTTTTGTGATATACTGATGAAGTTTGTTCTTTAGAGAGGAGGAGAAAAGTAAATATGTGATAAAGCATACACTGTCAAAATTAAGGTGGATCGAATACTAAATAAGCAGCTTAGGAGACTTAAACAACTGAAGCTGCGAAAGTGAAGTTTCTAGCATATTGTGTTGGTAGGGTGAATTCTGCCCTGTGTGTATATATGTGTGTGTGTATGTATGTGTATATGAAATCTGGGTGCCTGAAAAATCGAAATTAATCACCTGAAGCTCTTTTCATAGTCTGCAGAGAGGAATAAGTATGTCAGCTGTTCTAGACATCTCCTTAGGATGAAACTTACAGCCCTCAGGAAGTGACTGTTTATCTACATTTGCTTTAAGGCCATTGAAAGGTTAATAACTTATAGTTGAGCATTTAACTTTACATATCTGAGTTAAAAGAGAGGCATACTCATGTATTTGTCAACCATAGGCTTTACAGACCTACAAAGAAAAAAAAAAATAGCTACAAAATTAAAGTGAAGGAAAAAGTATTACAATTCGTGATTTTGTTAAACTCCACAGAAGTCGTTGTTTAACCAGGTAAATACAAAAAAATTTGTGTGTAAGGAAATGAGGTGTAAGCAGCTATATTGTCTGAGCACTTTCCTCAAGCTTTTTTTCTTTTTTTTTTTTTTTTTTTTTAAATCTTACGAGTTTGAGTCAAATTTTACATTAAAGTTGAGCTTTTAAAAATGAGTGGCCAGGTGAAGGGAAGAGAGCCAAATTAGATTCCAGCTGAGGGAGAGATAAGATTTTGATCTCACATTTTTAAGTACAAGAGAAGCCACATAAGAGACAGAGAGAGAGCCAGGAAATTCAGGTTTGTAACTTCTGGCTGTTTACAGAATTATTAGTATAAACAATTTGTTTGGGTTGATTTTAATTATAGCCTAATATCAGCTGCTTTTCCAACAAGCTTTTTGCTTGTTATTGCCTTCCTTTCTGTTAACGTTTGTGAGGCTAACACAAAGTATAGTGTAAATAATTTTTTTTATGCCAGCATAGCGTTCAGTGTGTACTGGAATCTAAAAAATTTGTGGTCTCCAGATCTGTAAATTAATTGATATAATTAAACTGTAGCATTGTCAGGGCATGGAAAAGATGTCCCTTTGGTGTCTTAAGCCGTTGCTTCCTTGTACCTATGTATACTCCAGTTATAACATGGAGCCTAAATTTTCGGAGATCCTGTTTCAATGCTTGAAGAGAGCGGATGGGTTAGATGGATGTAGTTTCCTTTTGTCCATCTGGAGGGCTAGATGATGGCAGAGGAACTGTGTTGTAGATTAAAATCTTCAGACTATGTTATATACTGACATTAAATGCTTTTAGTTTAATGTTTGTATATATTTTACAAGCATGTGTGAATAATTATGAAAGATGAAACACTGGAATATCTGAGTAAGAGTTATTGAATCATCACTCTGTCTGTGTTAGCTATGCCTGAAATGAACTCTCTATTTTAATAGAAATCGAAACAGGACTGTTTTGTGGTGCTTATTTAAGTTGTGCTATAAATATGATAAAGGGATGTGAAGAGAATGAAGTAAGCCAATGTCTAGTTTTGTTGATTTTGAACTAACCTTATGTAATGCTATCTTTTAGTAAAAGCAGTTCAAGAAATAGCATCTTTTTCTAGTCTCTGTATAGGAGTTTGGTGTTAATTCACTTGTGCTAGTTAGAAGGTTGTTCTGACTTTAAAAAGATACTGTTAGGAGGATTATTCTAAGTATGGGCGACCTCAGTCATCCTGTTTATGGTGCAGCCACACAAGCCACTGTATCTCTTTATGAAAGAGGAGTTTGACAGCTCCTTACTGCACTGGTGTAAAGAAAATCAGTGGCCAGGTGTGGAAATTGCTATAACAGATAGGCCCCTTTATCAGGCTTCAGAGGGTGGTGCCAGTCTGTTTGAGTGTGATCTGTTTCACTGCTTGGTTTTAAGTAGGTTGACAATAGCTCAGGAGTCTTGAGGCTTTTTAATTATGCATTTTCATGCTAACTCTTTCAAGAGAATCACTTCTGCATTAAAATGCATATAGCAAATAGTACAGTAAACAATAACAAGAGTTTTACCTTGTACTTAAATTTGTGATTATTTGAACAATTTTGACAAAATATTTTTGAGAAATGTAAACATACTGAAACTTGTGTTTATCCACGGTATGGTAAATAATCTCAGTTGAACTATATTTGACAAAATGTGTGGTAAACCCACTTGAAGTAGTTTATATGTGTCATTACTGTGCTAACAGCATAAGCATTTAGTTAGGTGTTAAATACATAGAATTGTCCTCAAATGTAGAGGACAATGTTAATGCGAATGAAAGTTTGAACACAGAAAAAAGACATATGAATGGAAAATGAGATGCCTTTCAGTAGGCTACATAGACCAATCAAATGGCTGAAGACAAAAAGTAGTTTTATCTTTAGTTAAATTTACCAAAGCTTTTTTCACAAGATTTCTTTCCAACTTAATGCATGGTTTATTGCAAAATCTATTTGTTCTTGTCATATGAATATGCAGCCTAATTAGCTAATAGTTTTATTTATTTAGCACTGATCATAGCCAAGACTCAGTGCTGCTTTGGGTGGATGCCACTAGAGACAAGAAGTAACAAAAGGCTCCATCACCTGGAATTGCTACATTTCTCTTGTCACAGCCATTCTGAGAGGGGCAGGCAGACAGACAGACTGCACACACAGGCCAGCAGACCTGAGGAACGGGAAGTATCAACTGTGGGCAAAGTACAGCATCTCAGGAACTTGCTGTGGTACTCCTGAAGGACCCTTGCTCTGGGCTGCTGTGACAAGTCCATAAGGAGCTGGTGAAGCTGCAGATGTATTCTCTGAGAGGCAGGCTGCCAGAAGGGGGACACATAAGCAAAGGAAGTATTTTTGTACATCTGCATTTCTAAAAGTATTGCCTCTGTCAGGCAGGATGCAGGGCAAGGTGCATTTTTTCTTTTTTTTTTTTTTTTTTTGACTTGTGGCAGCTACTATTTTATGAGAATAAAATGTGACCTAACATAACAGCTGTTCTTTGAGTCTTTCTTGGAGGATTAGTATGTGTAAATTACATTCTCCTCTGCCATGGTTGGTGAATCTAAACCATTTTATATTTGGAAACAAAAGTCTTTGCTAAATAAAATACATGGACATCTTTTCTGCCAAAGGGTTATTTTTGCCAAAGGGTTATCCTGTCAACTAGCAGACCTTTACATTCTTGTATAGCCTGTGAGTTTTTGGTTGAATAGCTACTGACTAATCCAGGTCATAGGCTTATCAGAGTTTGCATTTAACAGTCATAAAACACAAGCAGACTAGTATGTTTTGCAGAGTGCCTGTTCAATCCTGCCACTCATAAATACATAGTCTTGAAGTGTGTGTTCAGGATTTTTTTTTCCAAAGAGATATGGTATAAAGCCCTTATTTACAGCTGGATTTTACTACCTTAATGCACCCTAAATACTGTTTTCCCCAAACTTTCATAGTGATTGGAACGTAAGAGAGTGTTGCGTATGAATATAAATTGCAAAGTATGGCTTAAAAAGACTACTATGGAGAAGTAAAGCAGAGACTTTGTGTTATGTTGCCGATATATTTTAAAAAGCTTGCTTACAGAAGCCAGGCATTCATCATTTTGGTAAGCTGCAAATGTTGAGTATGTTCAGCGTTCTCTAAGTCACTTTCATAATATTACTCCTGTACATCATTATGACTGCATTTTGGTGATTTTAATTTTTTATGTTTGCTGGCATTTTTTTCATTGTCCAGATGTGTCGTTTTGTACTTCTAAGGTCATTTGTTTTTCTTTATTTTAAGGTGTGACTGTACAGAAAAATTACAGAGTAAATTTGACTTCTTGCGGTCACAATTGAATGACATTTCATCCTTTAAGAATATCTACAGATATGCCTTTGATTTTGCAAGGGTAAGACTACTGGAATGTTAGAGAAGTTCTTATTATAATTATTCAGGCAGCTTGTACTTGAGTGGTTTCTGTGCTTTCTTCTTTCAACCTTAGGATAAAGACCAGCGAAGTCTTGATATTGATACTGCAAAATCTATGTTAGCTCTTCTGCTTGGAAGAACTTGGCCACTGTTTTCAGTATTTTGTCAATACTTGGAGGTACAAGTTTCATTGACTTTCTGAATAATGGCATAGTAGTTAGGCTATTCTGTGAACAGATTTCAGGGTTTGTGTTGTTTTGCTCAAGAATGTGTCCATATTGCTCGTCTTCCCTTGCTCGATGTGCTTATGAAACACTGACATTCTTTTATGCATCACAGATGCTTTTCTCTGTCCTTGTGCCCCACCCCCCCTTTCTCCTATCAAAGGCAACTAAAATTCTGTCTTAGTTGGACTGTAAAGGTAAATCTTAAATCATAGAGCCCCAGTAGCCTCTCTGGAGCTGCATCCGTGCTGAATTTCAAGTTTGCTTTGTATACATATAGTATGTAGATATCTTGACCTCTGTCTGTTTCCAGAACATTTTGGTCATCTCAGCTGCAAGTGACTTAGTCAGTAACATGGACGTGTGTAGGTTGTGGAGCATGCTAGACTTGGGACTATTTCCTGGCTTCAGATCAGTAATAACGTTGCAAAGTAGATGTCCTTATGATCGTACTGTATTGTACCCTGGAGAAAAGATTTTTGTATTCTTTCATTCTGGAAATATATCTGAGCTAAGTATGCCCTGCTTAAGGGCGAGATGAAAATTTAGTAGTTTTGTAAGCTCAGGAGCAGTGACTTCCTGATTCTCAGTATTTCAATTTTGCTCTGATCTTCCAAGAAACCATTTTATGTAGTTTCAGAACTATGAAATATGTGCATGTGTAGTCTTTTAAAAAATGGAAAACCAAGGAAATAGTAGCCATTGTTACCAGTTAAATTGTTTGTTAGGAACTGATTGAAGATAAAATGAAAGAAATGAGAAATGAGATGCAGCGTTACCAGATATCACATGACATTTTAATATTCTGAAATTATTTTCCCCAGCAATCAAAATATAGAGTTATGAACAAGGATCAGTGGTACAATGTACTAGAGTTCAGCAGAACTGTCCATGCAGATCTTAGCAACTATGATGAAGACGGTGCATGTAAGTATTCACAACATTTTGCTTATTCAACTGTTATTTCAGTATTTTCAATTTACATAAAACAGTTCCGTAACAAAACAATACTGTGAGGTAAAAACATTTATTCTCTGACAATGCATAGAAAAACCGTCCTGATAACCATCTGTCTTTAAACTGCAGATGTTAATTGTAGTAGTATGTCAGGGGTGTGATGGTCTATTTGAGCCAACTTATATTGAGTTGAGGATCTATTGAAGCTGCTTGCTACCTAAAACTATGGACTTGCAAATAGAATTATAAACAGCAAACTCTCATTTTGTACTAATATATAATAAACTCTAGTTTAAAGTAGCCTAGCTGCTGTATTTGGGTCTGAACTCTATACCTGGCTGATAGTCAATCGTATTATGACTGAATTGCATTAGGCATGCCACTTTGGTCTGTGTTCTAGTTATGTGCAATTTTGAAAGCTCTAGGAAGAATGAATTAATTGCACTGACTTACAATATAGCCCTATTTTTATACTTCCCACTCAGTTCATTGCACCTGAGTTTTTTCCATAGTTCTGTGTAGTGTTATTTGTGTACTTTTTGCCGCCCTCGGATTGAAATGATTGTAGTAATCTTTGAGTCTTAATAAGTATTTGACCATAGGATTGACACACGTTACCTAGATCAATAGTTTTAACCTTCATACTTGAAGATGTTTGAAAGACATTGGCAAATATAACTCCCAATTTTGTCCATTTGCAGGGCCTGTACTTCTGGATGAATTTGTTGAATGGCAAAAGGTTCGTCAAGCATCATAGCAGGAATTCAAAGGAAAATGCAAAAGTTTTTTTGGTGCCCGCCTGTACACAAACTAATGAGAAAAAGGATTGCATTTTCATTCTTAATAAAGACTTTACAGTAACTTTTTTCCTTTTTTAAGGAAATTTTCTTGTTACACGTGATATGGGCATTGAACCACACCTCTTCTGAGACTGAAAGTTGGAGTTCTTGTTTTGAGTCTTATGTTTATAGCATTTATTTCAGAACAATAAAGATTCAGATTTGTGACAAAGGCCTAAAAGTGAAGAATGTCCCTTGAATGTGAGTGTGGTGTCTATTTTTAAGACCAAATCTTTAAAATTATCGTTCTCTGAAGTGCCCTTTGCTATGAGTTTTTGAAGACCTTAAAATGCTTAACTGGCACTGTTGCTTGCTGATGGTATGACTGTCTTGTGTGACAAACATTAGGAAGAATGACTGGTATTTGGAGCCCTGGGTGGGAGTGTGCTAACTTGCATATTAAGTATTGGTCATGGGTTGTGCCACAGTTTTCAGCTCCTTCTGGAGATAAAGGCCTTAAACTCTTTTTTTTTTTTTCTTTTTTCCTTTTTGTTCGGTACCCACCCAGTGGCATGGCACTTAATGGCAGGCCCGTTTAAAAGCAGAAGGGTGTAGAGTATATGGATCTATGTGCAGAATGGCTAAAAACAAGTTGCCTGTACTTCGAATGGTCAACACAGATACTCTTTGTTATAGTAAGGCAGCTTCAAATTTTTACTACAATTTAGACTTTGGATTGCTTTGTATAAAAAGTGCAATTTGTATTTTAAGAGGGAAAGCTGGAGAGGCTTGGTTTCAAGCTTTGCTTCTTACGTGTTTTAGACTAGAAGCATTCACAACATGACTTTTTTTCATCTCCCTGGATACATTTCATAATGTAAGTCAAGAAGAGATTATTAAATCACCTACCTTTGACGTTTATGTAACAAGCTATTAATTTTATACTGTTACTCCACGTATTGTGTCCAATAACTACTGCAATTGCCCTTTTGGGTGCTCAGTATTCGTTGCAACTTTTAAATACAGTAGAAGTTTGTCACTCTACCTTCATGCCCTGGAGGCCCAGTGCCACTCTTGAGAAGGAGAAGGATTTTAATGAGTAAATGTGAGAAACCAAAACAGACGAGATAATGAAGTATTTGTAACTTCTACTTTATTGTATAAATGTTATGTAGACTGTGATAATGCCATGAGACTCAGTGATCAAGGCCTCATTGTGCCAAATGTTTCAACAGCTTGAAATAAGAATAGACAATGTAAACTAGGCATGACTTGAAGATCTCTGCCTCAGGGAAATTACTTCTGTTTTGCACATCCCTTATTCAGACTAACAAGCATGAGTTTTCCTATCCGTAAGGAAAGCTTTATTCCCAAAATATTTTTTTTTAGAAGATGGGGAAAAAAATGCAAGGAGAAATAATAAGTGGAACAAACTAGCAGTGTGTGCCTGTGCTCTTGTTCTGCTAGAGAGGATCACTCGTGCAACGTAGTCTCCAGACCTGCTTGCTGTGGGCTACAGGAGGCAATTCAGTGGTGGTCCATGGGCTGTTCCACATGTCAGCCTGATAGAGCGGTTGAACCTTAGAAGCTTGGTTCTGCCCAAGTGGAATAAAAGAATTGGGGGACAAAAAAAAAACCAAACCACAGTTGAGATAGTTCGAAGATCTCTGCTTTTGTACAGTGGCTAGTGTCTGTATGCATGAAAATACATGCTCTACAGCACAGCTGTTCAAAATATTTTTCCACCTTTTCTTTAAGGGAAGTACTTAATTTTAGACCTCATGTAGGCTGCAGCAGTTCTTTTCAACATGTTACATGTTGTCCATTTGCATTGCTGATAATTGTTATTTCACTTGGAACAGAGTGCCTTTCTATTTGGAAATTGCCCTACCCCACAGAAAGTGCCGGAATGAGATTAACTTCAGGAGTCCCAAGATCCACAGGTAGAGTAATGTCCTAAGATGCACAGGTAAACATGCACCATTTAACTTATGTCAAGGGAAGTACTGCTTTATACTACATCTCCACAAAGGCACTGATTCTGAAATTACTTTCTCAAATTCACTACAGTGGCTCTCCTTGCTTAGTATGTTTAGTCCCCATTATAACTGGGATATTGTCTTTCCAGAAGTTTTGAAATACTGGTTAGAAGATTAATATTTTAGTGTGATTTAAAAAAAATCATCTTTTTTGGGTAACTGCGAACAGTTGTGAATTCAATTTAAACCAGTTGGTCCTAGAGGATGGTATTAGTTTGACAGTAGGAGTGATGCATCTCCCAATCCAAGGTGGTCAAGTACTTACCATTAAGGTGTAAGACACTATGTCATGTATCATTTGTATCTCTGTTAAGGTTTTATCAGTATTCCTATAATCCATGTTTCGGGGATTTATGACTTGGTGTGTGTGTGTGATTGAAAATAATCAGTTACTGTAAAACTTTGGGAATGAATGTATTTAAACTACTTAAAATCAATATAGTTTTTCAAATTTGAATAAAATAGGATTTTAAGTTATGTTTTTGTGCTCAAAACTGCAATCAGGTTTATTGTTTAAATGTGAACTAATGGCTTGTACAGTTTAATTGTGAGCTGATCACTTTTATTAGCTGTCTTTTATTAAATCACCTTACAGTAGATAAATGCCAAAAGCTGTTTGTTTATTTTATTTTTTTTAATTTTGTGCATGTCTACAAACCAAAACTGAGTTCAGGTAAATGCTTTCTTCAGTCTTTGAACTTTAATTTTGCTTTGCTCAGGTGCATTTCAGTCTATTAAATTAAAACAAAATAAAAATGACACCTTATTTTACAAAATTCTGAGATGAAAGTTCACAGGTGAAATGTGCTGCCACTGCTATGACAAATAATAAAGTCAAGGGTGAAATGTCTTCCAAAACTAAATCACAGTGGTGTCTATCTTGATGTTACAAACTTCACTTTAATTTCACTTTCATTTCTTGATACTAATTCTTCCTAGCGTGACTAAATTTTTCTAGTTTTCTTAGACAACAAGCAGTTTTAGTTTTTAAATCTGAAAGCGCCCACCTGTTCATGGAAAAAGCCATACTTGTAGACTGGAATGTAATGTTTCTCCTATGTAAAAATGTGATCTTGAATTAAACAGTCATGTATGTTTAGCTATGTCTTTATGTGTGGTTTTGATCCAATTTATCTTTACAGTTTAAACATCTAATTCTTTACTAATGGCTGTAATTTCACATTTCTATATAGTGGAATTTGAATTTTGCATTTGAGGTTACTCTGGACATGCGCTTGGTACCAGTCATGGGGGACCAGCTGCTATGGCCCCTACTGCCATTGTTAAGGTTTTTCCATATCTCTGAAAAACTTTGAGCTGATGTATTGTTATTGACTGCACAAAGATTGCAAAAGGGACCATAAGTTTATTATTTCTGATGTTTTGTTCATCTTTTAAGGTAGTGAACAGTTCTTTCAATGTGATATGTACAAACTTGTACAGGTTTAGCTTTGTGAAGTATGATGAATAAAATGGTATGTAATAGGGCAGAAAACCTTTTTCTTTGTCGTGCTGCCTGCTTTAGTTTTTTCTACCATGTGTGTATAACTGTTCTCAGAATTACTGAGAGACTTAATTCCAGCAAGATGGATCAGTCTATTTTCAAACTTAACCTTACTGAATAATTGCTTTGCTCCTGTGTGTACTTATAGAAAATAGAACCGGATCTCAACTGGGAGCAACAGCAAACACCAGTCTTGATTATATCCCATTTATTTGGTGCTGACAGAACATAATGGTCCTGGTGGTTAACTGTCATGAATTATTCATTGGATGAACACTGTTCCAACAACCTGTTGCAATGCATGTGAATGAAAAGAGAGTGAGCTTTCATATCTTCCCTGGCTGCCTCCCCTCCACCCTTCCCTCCGCCCCCAGTGTATCTCTTGAGTCACTGGTCTGTTTTTAGGAAAGGACTTTGTATTTTCTAGTGTAGTCTCCCATAGGGTCTTTCAGAACCCATTACAGAAAGGATCAAAGGCAGCATCCCATCATATGTTTGAGTTGGTGACGCTGTTTTCCTTGCAGATACAGCTTGTTTCACTGCTTGCCACTTTCTAGTTGTTGAGGATGGATGCCATACCTGTGTCAGGACAGTCTTCCCTCCCAAAGATGATGAGTCTTACTCAGACCCAAGGCAGTGGTCGTGATTTGTGTCCACAGTTCCACTTAGTCTTCTTTTGATAATGAAGTTCCCAATGCCTTTCATAGTTAGTGAGATGTTTAGATGTGTGCAAACCAGGCATCTCGCATCTATATCTACAAGTGATGGCAACAGTTTTGTTACTTCTCCTTACCCTTATCTTCTGTATCCTCATTCTCTATTTCTGCCTCTGCGGGAAGGGACACTGTAGGGTTAGGTAGGCATATTAAAGACTGAATGCGTACTGCAAGATGATGTTGTCTAGTGTTATCTTAATTTTTATTTTTAAACCACTACTAAGGTTGTCAACAAAATGAAATTAGTTTCTCAGGTGTGTATATCACTTCATACAGACTTTAATCTTGCTCCTGTTTATATCATAGCTAGAGTATGGCATTCCCTTTGTATTGGGATCTCCTTAGCCTTTTTGTCCCTAAATAGTAACTGACCAATGACAGAAGATGTCAGTTATTTAACTTGTCTGTTTTATAGGCCTTACAGCGGACAGATTTTTATCTTAATGAACTGAGTACTATTTCTTAGTCCAAGTTGGTTCCAACCATGTTTCTATTGAATGGCTTAGTATTTATAAGTTATTAAAATGTTATGGTTGTGTCCTGTTGCTCTAGAAACTGTGCCTATTGATTGAGATGCTTTAAACATGTAAAATTTTTTAACTTCTTGAATTAAACTTCTTCTGTAACTGACAATTTAAGAAAAAAAAAGACTTGTGTTTCAGGGGTTTTGTTCGTGTATGTATTTTTATCAGCACAGTAGTTAATTAGTGCTGATTATAAGTAAGTTATTTTCAAGTGATTTAAATTCTAGCTTATACACAACTTAGTTTTTTCCTTACTGTTTTCAGAATTATTTAATTTTTATTTTCACTGTTCATTTTGCTATAGTGAATTAAAGGGCTAAAACATAGTATTGCCAGCTGGTTTAAGTTTTTTTTAAGTATTAAAATATTTCAGGAAGGGTTACTGTGCCTATTGCAGTAATTTAAATTACAATAAGATGAAATGGTAGATGTGACTTGTAGCTTACTAAATA